TGGTGCTTCGGTCCTTCCACAGGCTTTGTCCTGGGCGCAACTGAGGGGGCTTTTCGTTCCTCCTCCGCCCCTTCAGAGCTATGAACTGTTCAGTTGTAGCATTAACATGAGAGACTTGGCGGCGGGCCTGGGAGGCAAGCGAACGGGGGCGGGGGTTCTCAGAGGGCGGCGGGGCCCTCGCGCTCTCCGAGAAGATTCCTACGCCTCTCCGAATCGGGTGTCGCTAGATGTGCCCCTGGCCAAAGGTACCCCCAGCTCTCCGCTCCAATCTGGAGCCCCTGGGGCCCTCTGGGCGGGGTGCACTGGAGGCCGCCTGGGCCACCCAGAGAACCCTGGGGGCACCTTGGGCCAGGGGGTACAGTCAACCCGCAGAGTAAGGATGCGCGATAAGGATGCAAGGGCCCTGGACGCCCATTCCGAAGCGCTTCGAGCCGGGCGCGGCCAACGAAAGTGTCCAAGGATGGACCCAGGAAGCAAGGATGCAAGGGTGCCCTTGGGAGGGATGCCTATCCTTACTCTGCGGGTCGACTGTACTTCTAGCAACACCCGACCCTTTGGAGTCCCGAAACGGTGCGGTGACGGACCGTGCGGTGACCTCGAAATCCCCCCAGACCTCACCGCACGGTCCGTCGCCGCACGGTCTTGGGACCCTGGAGAGCCCCCAGTCGCCCGAGACGTCCTCGGAGGACGGCCCGAGGCCCAAAACCGTGCGGCGACCCCGGATCCCCACCGACTCACCGCACGGTGTGGTCACAGCCCCGTTGGGAGGCCTCCGAGATCCTCCGAAAGGCAGAGGCGGCTTCCCGGGAGGGCCCGCGGGCCGCCGAAGGGAGAGCCCCACCGCCCTCCGAGGTGGCCCCGTCCTCTCGAGAACTCTGCCCCGCCGCCACCGCTCGGGCGTCCGAGCCCCTCGGGGGTGCTTCGGGCGTGTCGCGCGCGCACGTTTCGCAGGGTGAGAAGAGGCACAAAACGCCGCAGGCGTAATCCTGTGGCGCCCTGCGCGCGAATGTCGTTGATGGGCCCGTTCTCCACCACCACCACCGCAAGTTGGAGGGGGAGGGGGTCCTCCTCCTCCTCCTCTTCCTCCTCCTCCTCCTCCTCCTCCTCCTCCTCCTTCCCCCCTCCAACTTATGGGTGTGGTGGTGGAAAGCAGGCCCATCAGTCATGGATCCGCGCTGGACCCCCCTGCCTGGCGCGCGGAGCGCGCCAGGGGCGGCGGCGGAGGCGCCGCCGGGGGGGGCCCAGCGCGGATCCAAGGAATCCGCGCGGAGCGCCAACAGTTTATGTTTGTGGCGTGTTTTCTTCTTCGAAAGATGACGCAGGATGCTCCTTGATTCGGGGGCGCGCAAACATGGATTAGCGATGATTAGCGATCCATGGATTTGACGCGCGGTCGCCAAATCCATGGATCGGGGAAGGTGCCCTCCCCAAAATGCGGCCGGTGTCGCCTCGCTCGGCGGCGGAAATCAGCAGGTTCCCATGGAAACGGGACCCGTCGCTAATCCACGCCCCCTTGACCCATGTTTGCGATCGCCTGATCGATGGTCCTTGCCGAGAAAACAGTGCACACGTCCGAGCGATGCCAAGTGTCCCCCCTGGGCCCGCCGCCAAAAGAAACACAACGGTTAGGTCGGGCATGTCCCCCTACAGGCGGATTTTGGATGAAAAATCAAAAACAGTCAAACAAATACTTTGAACAATACTCTAAGATAGTCAAACAATGGTCCCCAGACTATTTTTGGACTGTTGTTGAATATTCCTCCTGTAGAAGGACACGCCCGACTTACCACAACGGTGCATGGCGAAGAGCACGCGCTCGCAGCGCACTCGGCTTTAGCCCCTCGGGACAGCATCGTTCGGTCGGGCACGTCCCCCTACAGGCGGATCTTAAACGAGAAAGGAAAACGAACCCACAACAATGCTCAAACATGCTATGACGAATCCTCGAAAAAGCGTCCCCTACAGATTTGTTGCTACTTCTGAATATTCCTCCTGTAGAGGGACACGCCCGACTTGACAGCATCGTGCCATCGCTCGGACGTCCATCCCCCCGTGCACGCTTCGGCTCCGCGCGTGCTGCTCCTCGATGACCCTCGCCAAAGTACAAGCTACGAGACCTATCTTGCATCACAGCAACAATCCGGCCCCTGACTTCCGTCCTGGGGTCGGTTCAGTGAAGTGATGCATTTCGGGGTCATCACGTGGGAAAAAGCATCACTTCACGAATCTGGGGCCCCTGGGGCCTCAGTGGGTCCTGGGGCCAAAAATTAGTGGCGTGGTGGTTTTCGGGCCTCGGCTAAGCGCGCACAGGTGCTACACGATGCGCAGAATGGCGGAGCAAAAGCAGCGCGCCTGACGTTCGCCCCACGGGCGGCACGAGAGCGGGCGTGAAGCACGCAGACCTTCCGGCGAACACCGCCCGCTGTCGTGAAAGGGCGGATAACGAGCTTTCTGATGTCTCGTCCTCAGGAGTGCTGTCGTCAGCGGTCCCGGCCGCCGCGTACCTGGGGGAACGGAAAGACACATCTACTCCCGAGGCCTCCCCCAGTAGTTGTTCTTAAAAACGCTGGGGGCGTTTGTTGTCCGTTTTCCACTTTTGGGATTGCGACCAACAAAAATGGAAACAAAACAGTAGCCCAAAACGAATTGAAAATGTCGTGCTCGAGCTAAAAACGAAAAGAAAACGGAGTGCCAACACGGGGGACGAAATGCCCTCTCCCAGTGCGTCCTGATCAGGACTGAGAGGCGGATCCGACCATGGCGACGAGGGCGCTGCGGGGCCCAAGAAAGCGCGAAGGAGGTGGGGTGCTGACGTCGGTGTGACATCGCTCAATCAATTTCACGTCGCAATGAAGCCGGTGCTGGTATCCGGCGCCGCGTGGACTGTCAAAATGTTGAACGCTCGGGGCTCTCAGACATGAGGCCTCCTTGATGGGGTCCGAGGAGATGGGGCTGGAGAATCGTGGCACATCAACGACGTATCGGCAACGTTGGCGATGCATCCGCGCCATCGGCGTGGAGAAAGTCGGGCTCCACATCGAGCAGCATCGGCGATGCGGCGCGATCATCGGACCACACTTTGCTCGGACCCCATCTTTCGGCGGTGGACACACCTCCCTTTAGCAAACCTCCCTTCAATGAAAGCGGCCTCGGACCGAAACCGACGGACCTGGCCCGTCAGAAATGACGGCCGCGACGCCCTCTCGCGAACCGAAAGCAGCCGAATCGCTCATCGACGTGTCGGGGTGAGAGGTCCGTCAACCTTCGAACCCTGGAGGCCCAGAGATCGGGCAGCGCAGACCGCTCGTCGTCAGCCGCTTCCGGGCGGCCGGCGCCGCTGGAAACACCTCGAAGGCCCGCGCCGGGGGGCCGCCGACGCGTCGGAGCGGCGGGAGCATGCCGCACAGTTCACGTGTTGCCACAGGAAGCCCCAGGTGGACAGCCAGGCTCACCTGTGGCCCAAGCAGCGCCCCGGTTTACGTCGAGGGGGGCCTGATGAAGGAGCCTCGAGCACCCCACAGCGCTCTCACTGCACGTCTCTCTCTCTCTCTTCCTTGAGCTGGCGAGGCAACGACATGTGAACCCCACCCCTGCAGACCAGAGTTCTGAAAAGCTAGCAGGGGCCCAAAATGTGAGGGATGTCTGCTACCGTAGATTGGACCCGTAGGGGTAGGTCTAATCGGACAGGGGGGGGGGGCAAAGAGGCGGACCAAATCAGCTCACGCAGCTGATTTTCCTGGCGCCTCCTGTTGCCGCAGGTGTCAACTTGTCGAAGAACTGAGTGAGCCCAGCGGCGGGGCCGAAAGCAGCTGCACGAAGCAGATTTCGCAAGCCCCCCTGTCACAATACCACCCCTTTCGTCCGACCCGACCTACGTGTCAAAACTCTGGTCTCTGGCGGCCGTTCAGGACGATTCGATCACCACCGGAACACTCTCGGCGAAGCGCCGAGTGCTGGAAAACACCCCGAGGGTTGGAAAAACAACGAGAATCAACGAAAACGCCTGAAAACCTTGAGTCTCAGATCTCGAACCTCGAACGGTTGACCCGAGTAGGGTTCGCAAGTGGTCGCAGACTGCATTGTCGGGATGGAGCAAATGGGGCTCCAAGGCGGGCCGAATCGCCGATGCATCGGCGATGCGGCGCGATCGTCCGACCCCATTCGTTCAGGCCCCATTGTGGGACGGATACGGAGTATACACGAAGTCGTCTGGTCGGCTTCCCAACCTGTGGGATGCTGGAGCAGCTACACACAGAACTCATTCGGCGAACCCGTTGGCTTCCTGGTCGACCATTTCAGCATCAGTCAACCGATCTACATCCCCACTGGCATGGCCTTGGCCACGTTGGCCACCCGACCCACCTAGGTGGGAGTATGTGAAGCTTCCTTCGGGTTTCGGGGGGGCGGGGGCGAGCTGGTGGGGATGATACACGATGCATGGCCCAGTCAGGATGAGGATAGGTCAGACAATGCTGATGCGTACCGGGGGGACAACACAACAAAAAAACATGCCGCCACTCCCCAGACTTCTCCCAGGGTGCGCTCCGATCAGAATGCCGAAGGGAACCCAGCCCTTTCCGACGGGGGCTCTCCAGGACGAACAACGGCATCGATACCTTATGCCCCCCTGCTATACACATCGGGTACGCACTGACTCGGGCCAATGCAAGCCCGAGTCAGTCGGGCATTGCAGGATCTTGCAAGACCCTGCAGGATCGTGCGCGCCGGCCCGGGCCAGTGCACCCCTGGCTCCGCAGGATCCTGCAGGATCCTGCGCTTTGGCCGACCCCCGTTTGCACTGACCCCCGTCTCTTGAACCCCTCCTCCTCCTCCTCCTTTCCTCCTCCTCCTCCTCCTCCTCCTCCTCCTCCTCCTCCTCCTCCTCCTCCTCCCTCTCCTCCTCCCCCGTCCCCAGACTCCCGATGTCGTGATTCTTTCGCAACGTCGCCCCTCGACGTCTGGTCCCCTCTCCCGGGATGGGTTGTTCGTCGTGCGTCGTGCTCTGACGGTCCCGAGGCCCAGTAAGGGCTCCCAGAGGCCGAAGGTAGCCCAACACCTCCCGTCGTGACTTTGTCGCGGCGCGAGGGGGTCCGGGTCCCCGGAGACCCTCCGAGCTTGGGAGACCCCCAAGATGGGGTCGGAGTAGATGGGGTTAGAGGATCGCGCCGCATCGCCGATACATCGGCGATACATCGGCGATGCATCGGCGACGTCGACGTGAAGTAAATCGGGCCCCACATCGTGCCGCATCGGAGATGCATCGGCGATGTGGCGCGATCCTCCGACCTCGTCTACTCCGACCCCATCTGGGAGGCCTGGAGTGTGGGAGGCCCAGAGAGCTCTGCGGCGCGCACAGTGGGGTGGAGGGAGGGGGGAGAGCCTCTTAGGAGACTGCTTCTTAGCAGGCGCTGGCCCCACTTCTACAGAGAAGGCCCGCTGTGAAGAAGCAGGAATGCTTCCAAGAAGCCCTCCCCCCTCCCCCCACCCCCCTCTGCGCGTGGCTGAATTTGGACGCCCGAAATCGGTACGGAAAAATGGGTACACTGCACAGCAACAAATGTTGTCCCAAACCAACAGAGGCCGCTGTTGGGCAGACGGCCTCCTGTCCTAAATGGCCACGGGCCGCAGCGGCGCGGACAGCAAGTCTTGCTCAGAATGAGCAGGAACTGTTGTTGGGCATTGTGCCCATTCTTTCCGTACCCATGTCGTTCGTGCCGATGAGAAGCCAGGGGGCGCGTGGGAGCGCCAGGGAGAGCCTGCAGGGACCTGCCTGAGAGCAGGGGCCTTGCCTCTGTGTAGGGACGTGCCTATGAGGGGCATCGTTTGGTCTTCTCGTCGTCGTCGTCTCTCTCTCTCTCTCTCTCTCTCTCTACTCCCGTCTCGTCCCTCCTCCTCACCCTCCTTCCCTGACCTCCTCCCCCTCCTCCCCCTCCTCGCTCTCCTCCCCTTCCCCTCTGCGCGTGGCCGAGGAGAGCACCACTCGTACTCCAGCGGGCTCTCCGCCGCGACGTCGGGCGAGGCCGGACACGAGGGGGCGGTGGGCAGGGCCGGCCGCTCGGGGGCCAGGCCCGCCGCGCCCGCGGGCGCCTCCTCGGGGGCGGGCCCGGGGAGAGCGCCTCCGCTCTTGGGCGGCGGAGGGGGGAGACTCCTCCTCCTCCTCCTCCTCCTCCTCCTCCCCCTCCTCCTCCTCCTCCCCCTCCTCCTCCTCCTCCTCCTCCTCCTCCTCCTCCTCCTCCTCCCTCCTCCTCCTCCTCCTCCTCCTCCTCCTCCTCCTCCTCCTCCTCCTCCTCTCCTCCTCCTCCTCCTCCTCCTCCTCCTCCTCCTCCTCCTCCTCCTCCTCCTCCTCCTCCTCCTCCTCCTCCTCCCTCCTCCTCCTTCCTCCTCCTCCTCCTCCTCCTCCTCCTCCTCCTCCTCCGCCTCCGCCTCCTCCACCTCCTCCACCTCCTGCTCCTCCTCCTCCTCCTCCTCCTCCTCCTCCTCCTCCTCCTCCTCCTCCTCCTCCTGCTCCACCTCCGCCTCCTCCCCCTCCGCCTCCTCCTCCTCCTCCTGCTGCTCCGCCTCCTCCTAGCGGACACCGAAAGATCCGCTGCCCCTCGAGGGGGCGACCATCGCAGCGGAGGTGCTCTGCAGAGGCTGGCCGGACTCATGTCACCACACTCGGGTCCGGCAGAACGCCTCCGTCGCTCCCCGGGGGGCAGCGTCCGTGGCCCTCGGGGGGGGGGCGGGGGGGAGGAGGGGGGAGGGTCGCTCGGCGGCGCGCAGAAGGGCGGGGGCGCGGCAAGGGAGGCCTTCCGAGAAGGCCGGGGAGCTCCGAAGCGGGCCCCTGCCTGCCAGGGAGTCCCCCTGGCTTCTCACGAGCCCCCCGCCCCCCACGCCACTGCCTCGTGCGCGCCGCCGGGTCAGGGGCGCGGGTCAGGGGGGGGGGGGGCGGCGGGGGTTGTGGCGGCGGCGCCCGTGCAAGTCTGGATGTACGCGACGACCGCCAGGACAGGGCCGCGAGGGCAACGAGGGTGGGGGGCGCCCCTCACCCCATCCCCGCGCGACCGCGACAAGTACCCGAGGAGGGGGGGGGGAAGGGGCAGGGGGATGACAGACACCAGCCGGCCTAGACTACTGCTGCAGCAGCTTGACGTGTAGCCGTGGTGCCACGCGGGTCCTGCCCGCCCGGCGCGGGCGCGCAGGCCGGGGCCCCGGCGCCGCCCCTCGGCGTGCCGAAGTGAGCGGTCCAGGCCTCGGGGGAGGGCAGAAGCGGGGCACCGTCGGGTCGGGCATGTCCTCCTACAGGCGGGTGTTGGGCGAAACATGAACAAAGAACGACAAAGAGAAACCCCAATCAGTGGATGGTTCGATCGACAAGGAGATCGACCGGGAACCCAAGAACCCAAATGGCCACCGAAATCGGCCCGGAACCAATAACCAGGAACCCGGGAACCCGGGAACCCAACGTGCGACCAAAATCGGCGGGACGCTTTCGCCAAATCTTTCAACTTCCGCGAGGACCCCTTCAGTCCAAGCACTGATTGGGGAAGAATCCAAGCTGCTCAAAAAGTGGTCGAACACTAGTCGGCAATCGTTCCCCAGACTACGTATGTTTGGACTGCTTTGGAATCTTCCTCCTGCAGAGTGGCACGCCCGACTTGAAGGTGCCGACACGACGGGAGGCCCCTGTCCCCTGCTGCGACTGTTGGCATGCCGGGTCGTCCAGTCTCGACACGGTGCGCCGATCCTCGGGCGGCTGGTATCCATCCCGCCACCGCGACTGGGTTGTGAGTATGATGCATGTTGGATGTTCGCTGGGATCTCGTTGGAGGCCTCCTGAAGGCAATTTGGACGCCTCTTGCGAGCTTTTTGGGGGCCTCTTGGGGCCTCTTTTGGATCTCTTGGGGGCCTCTTGGGGGGGGGGAGGGGGGGAGCCAAATGGGGGGGGGGAGAAAAGGGCCCTTCAGGACCCCTTTTGGGCCTCCGCTGGGCCCTCGAAAGTGCCCCTTTAGGGCTGCACCTCCCATTCAGGTCACCCCCTCTTTTTACGAGGGGCAACCATAGGGGGGGATGGGCATAGGGGGGGACACATCGGCCTCGAATGGGCGATGCATCGCCGAGAGATCGGCGATAGGCCCCCGAGAGTGAATCCGCACCTCCCTGTGCAGGCTGGGGCTATCGCGACCCTACCGGCGATCAACGGGCGATTGGGGGTCGATGCATCCTCCCCTGCGGATTTTCAGCGAAAATGTAAATATAGTTTAGGGTGTATGGTTTTGTGTGTGTGTGTGTCCCAGGCCCAAAGGGGCCCTGGGACACACACAAAGAAATACACACAAATAACAGGATTCCCCATATTGTCCTATGTATTTTCTGGGTTTTTGTCCTCCCCCCGCTTCCCATAGTTTCCCATCTTTTCCTGGGAGTGGGCGATTACTTGTGTCTGTGTGTGTTTTTGTCCCCTCCTGCTTCTGCCTGGCACAGACAGAGGACCTGTTCAAAATGGGCAAAAAACTGGTGGCGGTCTCCGCACCCACTCTTTCCGTACCCGCTTCGATCGTACCGATCCTACCCGCCGAGCCTCGCCCTGCAGCAATGCATCGGCGGCGTCGGTGTGGATCGGCGACGTCGGCGCGCATCGCGCCGCATCGCAGCTGCATCGGCGTTGCGGCGCGACCCTCTGACCCCCTCTACAAAAGGAGCTCGACCACGGAAAACCTTCCGCAAGAAACCCAACCCTGAGACCCCAGGACGTCCATTGATTTTTGGTATGGGAGCGTCGCGCTTTCCAGAGCGAAACCATCCCAACCCAAGAAACCCAGGGGACCCTCGAGGCAAGCAGGGTGTCTCTTGGCATGGGTTTCCACCGTACTCGGTCCACATCTGGGATGCCCAGACGTATACCGACTACCTGTTCCTCCCCCGAGCCTCGCCCTGCAGCGGCGCGGCCGCCGCCGGCGGCGGCAGCCTCAGCGCGACGCGCGGCGCAGGCGGCGCAGGCGGCCGCAGCAGCGGGATGCCGCGCGGGCTGGCCGCGCGGCCGCCGGGCGCGGGCTGGCTGGCCTGCAGAAGGATAGACAGAGGCACCAGCATCCACTTGCGGAGCTCCGCGCGGACTTGTTGGATCTGCGGCGGGCCCTCCTCACTGGCGCCAGGGGCGCCGCCAGGGGGGCCACTGGAGGCGCCGCCAGTACAGGTGGTGCAGACTTGTTCAATACATACAGTCAACCCGCAGAGTAAGAATGCGCGATAAGGATGCCAGGCCCTTGGACGCCCGTTTCGAATCGTTTCGAGCGTGGCGCGGCCAACGAAAGTGCCCAAGGATGGACCCAGGAAGCAAGGATGCAAGGGTACCCTTGGGAGGGATGCCTATCCTTACTCTGCGGGTCGACTGTACATGACTCGCGGTAGTGAGGGCTTCTCAAAACGCAAGGACCTTAGCGGCGCCTCCATCGGCTACTCGCAAGCGTGACCCTGGGGAAGAGCGACCTTTGGTGGGCGACTTTGGGGGGCCGCGGGGGGGCAGAACACAAGCGCGCAAGACGCTACTGCCGCATCGCGTTCGGCGATCGGGGGACCCCAGTGGGTCCGCACCGAAGGTCACTCCGGCGCGGGGTCACTATTACGTGTAGTCGACTCCAGCGCCAGGGAGGAGTGCCCGCCGCCGGTCCACGAATAAGGGACCAACAATGTCCAGTGCCGATCCGAGAAATCCTCGCGGACCTCCGAGCTCTTATTTTTATGGCATTCTTCGTTCCCCTAAAGAGATCCGCGCGGAGCTCCAAAAGATTGTGTTCATGCCGTGTTTCGGGGATAGACAGACCTCCCTTTAGTAAAACGTGGTTCAGTGAAAACGACCTGAGGCCCAAACCTGGCGGGCGCAAGCCTGGAAAATAACGGCCGCGGCGCCCTCTCGAGAACCGAAAACGGACAATTCACGAATCGACGTGTCACTGTTGGGGGTTCTGTCCACCCCCGGGTGTTCTGCTCCTCGAGGCTGGCCGCACCGTCGCTGTCCGAACCCGAGGCGGCGTCGCGCTCGGGCGCCTCCGCCGCCGTCGTGGGCGTGCTGGCGCCCGTGCTGGCGCCTGTGCTGGGGGGAGGCGCGCCCCGGTTGGTCTTAAGTCGGGCCTGTCCCCCTAGAGGGGCATTTGACGAAAAATGTTCTCCTTTTTTGTAATATAAAAAAGCCCCAAAGTGTCAAAAAATACTAAAACAAAATAATCCCCTGACTATTTTTGGATGTTGTTTTTTTTCGTCATTGTTTTTTTCCTCGAAAATCCCATTGTAAGGGGGGCACGTCCGATTTAAGGCTGGTCCCCCTGCGCCGGCCCTGCGTCTTAGAAGGCGCCGGCCTCACATCTATAGATGAGGCCCGCGCCTTCTAAGAAGCAGGAGTGTTTCTAAGAAGCCCTCCCCCCCTCCCCTCACCTTCTCTGCGCGTGGCTGACGTGCTGTGATGACGGAACGGCACACTCACAAAAAAACTGTTGCGTCGGCGGCTAGGCAGAGTCACTCGGGAGCGGTCAAGAAGCCGGTGTCCAAAAGCGGGGGGGTGCAAACCATGACCGGCGGCACGTGCGCGGCCCAGCGGAGGGGCCAGGGAGGTAATGAAATAAGAAGAGGCGCCATGACATCTGGGGAAATATCATGACCCCTCTGCCATGATACCCGCCCCCCTAATCATCATCCCCCTCTTTGCCGCCCCCGAAGTCACTGCGCTAGCGATGAGGCGCTGGGAGATGCACGAACGCGGATGAAGCCACTGTGCAAGAGGGAGGGAGGAGGCGCCCGGCGGCAGTGGGAGGGAGGAGGAAGCTGGGCCCTCTCAGAGCAAGGCCAGGCGCGCGGCGGGGGCGGCGCCGGGGGGCGGGAACCAGCAGCGGCAAGCCGGCGGCTGGGGGGGGGAGCCCCCCCCCCCCAGGCTCACACACACACGCAGAAAAAAAAGCCCTGTAGGCAGGGAGAATGGGGAAGGGCAAATAATGAAGGCGCTACAGTCGGACTTAGGCCAGAGTAACCTTCTTCAAGAACATGAGACCCTCCGTCGGCCAAAACAATCAGAAAACCCAAGGGCACCCTCCCTAGGATGCACAATTACATCCAACACATACGATGAACACCAGGGCACCCTCTCCGAGCCGACCTCGATATGATACCTCGGTCCGGCTGCATAGGTATGGACGGGGGTTGTCAGACCCCAGGGGGGGCTCCCGTTTGAGAAGGGGCCATCAAATCCAACAACGCACAACCATAGCCCCCACGGAACTCCGCCATCTGGGGGCTGCATATAATGGAGGCCAATCCACAAGAAACCTTCCACAAGAAACCCAACCCCGAGACCCCAGGACGTCCATCGATTTTTGGCGTGGGAACGTCACTATTTCCATAGCAAATCTATCGAAACCCAAGAAACCAAGGGCACCCTGGAGGCAGGCAGGGTGTCTCCTGGCCTGGGTCTCCACTGTAGGTACGGGTGCCAGCTTCAGGTCGGGCGTGTCCTCCTACAGGCGGATGTTTGTTACGAAAAATCAAGCGTGGCTAACACATATTCAAAGATGGTCCAGAATGGTCGACTGATCGCTCCCAGACTACTCTTTTACTACTCTCGAATATCCCTCCTGCGGAGGGACACGCCCGACTCAGTGTCAGCCGTCAGCTCGAGACGCTGGGCAGCGGCGTCCGTGCGCACGCCCCGCTGGGCCTGGCCGGGACGGCACGTCCTGGTCGGCGGCGGCGCGGAGGCACGAGGCGCCGTGCAGCAGCAGCTGGGTCGCGGCAGAGCTGACCGCGAGCGCGCACGGGTGGGAGAGGGGGAGGGGGAGGAGTAGAGGAGGGAGGAGGAGGAGAGGAGGAGGAGGAGGAGAGGAGGAGATGAGATGAGGGGGGGGGGTGGGGGGGGGTGGGGGGGTGGAGGATGGAGGAGGAGATGAGGAGGAGGAGGAGGAGGAGGAGGAGGGGGGAGAGAGGAGGAGTATAGGAGGAGGAGGGAGGAGGAGGAGGAGGAGAGGAGGGTGGGGAGGGGGAGGAGGAGGAGGAGAGGATAGAGGAGGAGGAGAGAGGAGGAGGAGGAGGAGGAGGAGGAGGAGGAGGGGAGGAGGAGGAGGAGGAGGAGAGAGGTAGGATGAGGGGGAAGGGGGAGGGGGAGAGGGGAGGAGAGGAGTAAGGTAGGAGGAGGAGAGGAGGAGGAGGAAGCTGAGGAGGAGGGAGGGATGAGGGGATGGGAGGAGGAGGAGGAGCAGGAGGAGTAGGAGGAGGAGGAGGAGAGGAGAGAGGAGGGGGAGGAGGAGGAGGAGTGGAGGGGGAGGAGGTAGGAGGAGGAAGAGGAGGGGGAGAGGCGGAGGAGGAGGAGGGAGGAGGTAGGAGGAGGAGGAGGGATGAGAGGAGGAGAGGAGGAGGAGGAGGGGAGGTGTGCGTGGGTTCGTGTGTGCGTGTTGCCGCGTGGTGCGTGTGTGCGTGTGTGGCGGTGTGGGCGTGTGGGCGTGTGGGCGTGTGGGCGTGTGGGGCGTTTGTGCGTGTGGGCGTGTGTGCGTGTGGGCGTGTGGGCTTGTGGGCGTGTGGTGCGGTGTGGGCGTGTGGGCGTGGTGGCTGTGGGGCTTTGGGCGTGTGGGCGTGTGGGCGTGTGTGCGTGTGGGCGTGTGGGCGTGTGGGCTGTGGGGTGGCGTGTGGGCGTGTAGGCGTGTTGTTGGCGCGTGGGCGCGTGGGCGCGTGGGCGCGTGGGCGTTGGGGCGCGCGTGCGCGTGCGCGTGCGCGTGCGCGTGCGCGTGCGCGTGCGCGTGCGCGTGCGCGTGCGCGTGTGCGTGTGCGTGTGCGTGTGCGTGTGCGTGTGCGGGTGCGTGTGCGTGTGCGTGTGCGTGTGCGTGTGCGTGTGCGTGTGCGTGTGCGTGTGCGTGTGCGTGTGCGTGTGCGTGTGCGTGTGCGTGTGCGTGTGCGTGTGCGTGTGCGTGTGCGTGTGCGTGTGCGTGTGCGTGTGCGTGTGCGTGCGCGTGAGCGTGCGCGTGCGCGTGCGCGTGCGCGTGCGCGTGCGCGTGCGCGTGCGCGTGCGCGTGCGCGTGCGCGTGCGCGTGCGCGTGCGCGTGCGTGCGTGTGTACGTGTGCGTGTGCATGTGCGTGCGTGTGTCTGTGTGTGTACGTGTACGTGTGTGTGTGTGTGTGTGATTGTGTGCCGGCCTGTTCTTCGAACACACATTGTGTGCCGGCCTGTTCTTCGAACACACCGATGTCTGGCGCGGCCTGCACGAGCCCTTCCATGACAAGCCTCTTCTGTTGGAGGCGTCCTAGATGGGGTCCGAGCAGATGGGGCCGGAGGACCTCGACGCATCGCCGATGCATCGGCGATGCATCCGCCATGCACTGGCAACGTCGGCGGTACATCCGCGACGTCGGCGTGGAGAAAATTGGGCCCCACGTCGAGCCGCATCCCGGATGCATCGCCGATGCGGCGCGATCGTCCGACCCCATCTGCTCCGACCCCGTCTGGGAGACCCAGATCTGTGCTGACGACCTCCTCATCCTCGAGCCCACCCGCCACCTGCCAACGTATATTCCACTCCACGCAAGAGTGACCATGGGTAAGAGTGACCTTTGGTGTGCGGCTGTTTAGGGACCGCGGGGGTACCCAGCAGAAGCGCGCAAGACGCTACTATCGTATCGCGTTCGGCGATCGGGGGACCCCATTGGGCCCGCACCGAAGGTCACTCCGGCGAAGGGTCACTCCTACGTCTGGTCGATCCATTGGGGCGAAGCGAGTTGGGGCGAATGCGAGGAGGCAACGTCATGAGGGACGAGGGGCGAAGCGAGGGCACAGAACTCGCCGGCCTACATAAAGAGGCAGGAGCGCAGCCAGCACCGAAGCGGGAAATCTGCCCGACTTGGCATGCGGGTCGGATCTGCCGCGTCGTCACGGAGTCCAGATCGGATGGGATGGGCCGCGCTACGATGCACGACAGTGCCATGCAAATACCAGGCCGCACCGCATCGTCGGAATGTCAGACTCAAACTGGGTCGGGCCGTCCAAGATCGACATTGAATCGGATCGATCGGGTCGAAGTTCGAAGCCAGGCGATTTGAGACAACGACCGCTCTAAATCGCTCCTCAGATCCCTCCCAGGGCCCAATGGCGACGAGGGCCCCTCGCCCTTCTGAGAAGTGGGCCCCGAGAGGGGAGGGACCAAGCCGCTCACGCAGAACCCAGCTGCAATTCATGGGAGCCTCCCATACCATCTTGCTGGCTCTAGCGAATCGACGCTAACCGATGCTAGTCGACGCCAGTCGACGCTAAATCGACGCTAATCGAAGCACAATCGGCGCGAAGGCTTGGAAGTCCCACGACTTCTGAGGAGTTGTCTGATCCTTCCCCGCAGACAAAGAACACTTCCCAAAGCCCGGCAGGCTTCTGACAAGCCCCACCGCCTTCCGAGAAGGCCCTCTTCTTCTCACTTCCCCCCCTCGCTCGGCGCCGACGCAAGACTCCTATGATTTGGTTGACGCAAGGGGAGTCCAGCTGCAAGGGGGTGGTGCAAGAGATTTGGGGCAATTGTATTTCAAATGTACAGCGCCGGAGAATTGGATTGCATTGCACTGCAAGTAATGCAGTGCACGCGAAAATCCAGCAATCAATCTGCCCCCAAGAATGTGCTGCCTTATTCTCACACACGAATTTTATTGCACCAGAATTATTGCACCACTCCCTTGTAGCTGGACCCCCTTGTGGGTCAACCAAAACCATCTGTCACCAAACCCGAGGATGGGCCGGCCAAGGGCCAACGCGGTGTCGGGGATCTTGTGACCCGGGTCAATCCAGACCCGGGTCAGTCAGGCCTTGCAGAATCCTGCAAGATCCTGAGAGATCCTGCACCCAAACCCGGGTCAATGCGAAAGATCCTGCAACATCCTGCAGGATCCTGCAACCAAACCCGGGTCAATGCGACCCTGGCCCCTGCAGGATCCTGCAAGATCGGGCGCTCTGGCTGACCCCCGTTTGCATTGACCCCCGTCTCTTGAACCCCTCCTCCTCCTCCTCCACCTCCTCCTCCTCCTCCTCCATGTCCTCCTCCTCCTCCTCCTCCCTCTCCTCCTCCCTCTCCTCCTCCCTCTCCTCCTCCTCCTCCTCTTCCTCCTCCTCCCTCCTCCCTCCTCCTCCTCCTCCTCCTCTTCTCCTCCTCCCTCTCAAGGCTCACGACGGTCTGCCCGTTGGCGCCCACCGGGCGCCGCTGTGGGCGGCCCCCGGGGCGGGCGGCACGGGGCCCGGCGCGAAGGGCAGCGAGGCGGCCGCGCCGTCCAGCTTGGGCGGCTTCGGCCTCTTTTTCCTGCGCGCGGCAAGGAAAACGCACACGCACAGCATACGCACGCACGTACGCACGCACGCACGCACGCACAGCACAGCACACACACACTCACACACACACACACTCTCACACACACACACACGCACGCACGCACGCACGCACGCACGCACGCACGCTCGCACAACACACACACACACTCACACACACACACACTCACACACACACATATATATATATATATATATATATACATCCGTAAACACACAAAGACACACACACACACACACACAAACGTACACACATACACCCACACACACACACACATTAAAACTTTTCTGATCCGCGGGTCGAGAGCGCACCTCTTCTGGTCGAAGCTAAACACACATTAACACACACACACACACACACGCGCGCGCACGCACGCGCACAGCACAGCACAGCACAGCACAGCACAGCACAGCACACACACACACACACACACACGTACACGCACGCACGCACGCACGCACGCACAGCGCACTGCGCACACACACACACACACACACACAAGCACGCACCTTTGGCGTCGCGGCCCTGCGCGCGGCGATGGGGCGGAGAAGGTGATAAGGCAGCGCGAACGCGCGTGCGCCACTAGGAGCGCCCGAGCACTCGAAGACCGCTTTGGATATCCCAGCCGCCTCCGGCCATAAGCCGCCCAGGCGAGGATGACGGGGGAAGCAGTGAAGTACGAGACGACGGTGAGGTGGAAGGACACACACACACACTCACACACACACACACACACACACACACACACACACGCGCGCGCGTTTGAGGGTTGCGGGCGGGGCAAGAAGGCAGCTCTGCCGATCGGTGGTACCTCTGGCCAGGCGAGGCTGGGTCAAAGCAAGTGGACCCACACGATGCAGGAGGGGCCCCAGGCGGGCCAGAGTCAGGAAAACACACGCTCACAGGGGCAATCGACGAATAAGCGGGGACACTCCACTCGGCACTGCCAAGCCCAGGGATGCGGGCGGGATGATGCTGCAAGACGGACGAGGACCACGATGAACGGGCATTCCAGACCCCCCATCGAGGTTGACTCTACGCTCGGCTCTGGGCACTGCCAAGCTCTGGGATGCGGGCGGCCACATGCTGCAGGAGGAGGAGCCCGAGGAACTCATCCCAGACATCCCATCGAGGTGGGCATTGCTCGGCTACACGCAGGAGCGGCACTGGGGAAAGGAACGACCTCTGGCGTGGGGCTTGCAGGCCCCCGCGCAGCGACGCAGCGGCCGCGCCCTTGCGTGCTCTGGTTCGGCCTCCCCGCACCCCCCCGAGAGCAGCGCACCACTGGCCACTCCAGCGAAGGCTCGTGCTTACGCGTAGCCGAGCAGGGGGGGCATCTCCACACCTCCCAGTGAAGTCGACGATGCAGCCTCGATGACCCACGAGACCCCAGCCATGGACGTCCACGGCGACAGCCAAGCCGAAAAGAAACAAGCAGATCGCGCAGCCGCAACGCAAAGCAGTGGGCCGCAGGCAGCCTAGAAGGTCGAAGCGATGCAAAAAACGAAGCGACAAATGACCCAACCGAACCGACCGAACGGAGCCGAAGCGATCGAACCGCGGACACGTTGAGGAGGTGGAGCACAAGGGTAAGGATAAAGATAAACATAAGGCCGTTTGGGGTCTGCTGGTTAGCCCCACTCGAACTTTCCGGCCCCTGGGTAGTACTAGGTCGGGCACGTCCTCCTACAGGCGGATTTTGCCAGAAAGTAAAACGGAGCCAGAAAATAATCGAACATAGCCAACAAAGCACGAACCATCGTCACCAGACTATGTGTGTTACTATTAGTCACTACTCCTCATGTAGAGGGACATGCCCGGCTTAAGGGTAGCGCATGGATGCAAGCTTTGAGCTCTGATTGCTGGTTGGGCTGCCCGAGGAGAGCCCTCCCCAAGTCCCCTGGGGGCTGCCCCGCTCGGCGGGACACCCCGCCTCGGTGGTGAGAAACCTGTGTCCAGCGGGTGAGGGTAACTGCCATCTACGTGGTGAGGAGGAGGAGAAAGAGGATGAAAAAGAGGAGGAGGAGGAGGAAAGCGTGAAAAAAGCTCCTGCAGAATTGGCCAACTGAGAACCAAGTGGACTGGTTCAACGTCTGAGAACCAAGTGGACTGGTTAAACAGACCACTCTGCGGTGCACACTGAGATGCGCACGTGCGCTGTAGCACCAACCCGCACGTCAGGGGCAAGGGTGAGGGAGGAGAAGGGGGAGGATGAGGAGGAGGAGGAGGAGGAGGAGGAGGAGGAGGAGGAGGAGGAGGAGGCGAAGGAGGCGAAGGAGGAGGAGGAGGAGGAGGGGGAGGAAGGAGGAGGAGGAAGTGGGAGGAGCGGAGCGGAGCGGAGCGGAGCGCGCTGAGTCCGCCGGCCAGCCGGCAAGCCCCTTAGGAGCAGCGCGGGTGGGCCGGAGCCCGCTTACTGAATGTGGTGGAGGAAGTCGTCTTCCCAACTGTCCAAAAGTATCTAATCACATGCATAGTCCAACCAATGTTGAGTGATTCCCCAAATTCGACTTTGTACAAATTGGGATATGTCGTCGCACCACCGCTTGCGTGGTCTTCCATGCCTGTGCTGTGTTAGGAGGAGGAAGAAGGAGGAGGAGGACAAAATAGGAGTAGGAAGAGGACAAAAGAGGAGGAGGAGGAGGAGAAGGAGGAGGAAGAAGGATGAGGAGGACAAAGATGAGGAGGAGGATGAGGAGGAGGAAGTAGGAGGATCGATGAGAAGAACAAGGAGGAGGAAAAGGAGAAGGAGGAGGAGGAGGAAGAGGAGGAGGAGGAGGAGGTAGGAGGAGGAGGAGGAGGAGGAGGAGGAGGAGGAGGAGGAGGAGGAGGAGGAGAGAGGAGGAGGAGGAGAGGAGGAGGAGGGAGGAGGAGGAGGAGAAGGAAGTGGGAGAAGGAGGAGGAGGAGGACAAAGAGGAGGAGGAGGAGACACAGAGGAGGAGGAGGAGGGAGGAGGAAGAGGAGGAAGAGGTGGAGGAGGAGGGCGAGGACAGAAATGAGGAGAACAAAGAGGAGGAGGAAGAGGAGGAGGAGGCGGAGGAGGAAGTAGGAGGATCGAGGAGGAGAATAACGAGGGGGATCGAGGAGGAGAAAAAGGAGGAGGGCATCCCAGACGTCCCATCGCTGGCCCGCGAGACATCCCCTGGCCTGCCCCCCTTCCGGTGCTGTGGTCTCCGCCAGTGTGGCTTCGCCGCCGCTCCTGCGCAGGCTCTCGCGGGGCCACCGCGCGCCCCTGCGGCCCGCCCCCCCTTCAGAATCCAGGCAGGAGGAGGAGGAGGAGGAGGAGGAGGAGGAGGAGGTAGGAGGAGGAAGAGCAGGAGGAGGAGGAAGAAAAGAAGCAGGAGGAAGAGGAAGAAGGAGGAGGAGGAGGTGGAGGAGGAAGTAGAAGGAAGGAGGAGGAGGAGAAGGGGAGGAGGAGGAGGAGGAGGAGGAGGAGGAGGAGGAGGAGGAGGAGGAGGAGGAGGAGGAGAAGGAGGAGGAGGAGGTAGGAGGGGGAGGGAGGGAGGAGGAGGAGGGAAGAGGAGGAGGAGGAGGAGACGGGGGGGAGGCGGTTGCGCTGACACGCCGAAGCGCGCGCGGTCCACCAGCGGGGAGCTGGCGGCGAGGCAAGAGTGGGGGAGGCGAGAGGCGGTGCTCCCAAGGCGGTGCTCCTGCGGGAATGGTCCTCGGGGCGAGGTGTTTCAAACAACGCAAATCCCCCTTCAGAGTCTTGGCAGGAGGACCCGCGGAGAGCTGGCGGCGAGGCAACAGGGTTAGGTCGAGTACGTCCTCCTACAGGCGGATTTGGTAGAAACATAAAAACAGTCAACAAATGCTCAGACATGATCAAAAATAGTCGAAATATCGTCCAGAGACAATGTTATACCTTTTCTGAATGTTCCTCCTGTAATTAGAGGGACACGCCCGACGTAAGTCTTGGCAGGAGGACCAGCGGATAGCTGAGGCGAGGCAAAAGTGGGGGAAGCGAAAGGCGGTGCTTCCAAGACGGGGGTCCTGAGGGATGGGGGTCCTCTGGGCGAGGGGCCTCAATCAACGTGAATCCACCCCGCCTGTCCATCAGGACCCCACCTTGGAACCACGGAGAGAGGGCAGGCCTTCTCGGAAGGCGCCGGGGCCTCTCAGACGCCCTCGCACCGTCTGAGGAAACAATTTTAAGCCTCTTCCGAGGACGCAGAAAGCTTCTCAGAAGGCCCGTGGGCTTCTGACACGCCCCGTCGCCTCCTGAGAAGGCCTCTTCCCTCTCACTTCCCCCCCCCCCGGCGCGCCGCAAAAATAGCTGACGAGGCCCCGTTTGGGCATCAGTTGCAACTTGATGCGCGGGGAATGCCAGAGGACATCCCATGGAACGACCTCAAGAATATCGAGAACCTTCCGAAACCAACTGGACCTTATCCCAAAACTTTAGCTGTACGGCTCCAGAAGTGCACTGCTTCAACTGGGCGGCTGAAACGCGTTCGGATATTGGGGGGAACCCGCGACTCTCCTGGGCTGGCGCTGCCAGCACTTCACCACGTAGGCCTTCCTGATAAAGTCGCGCCGGCGCTGCTGGTCGTCCCCCTGTGGCCTCGCGAACTCGCTGGCGTTCCAGAACGCAAACCACTCCGCGGCGGCGCGCTTGTTGCCGCCCTGCCTCGCCATGAGATCCACGTCGCAATCCTCCCATTCCGGGTCGGCGATGCTCATGGTCCTGTGAAGGGCTGGACCAAAACATTGTTTTGGGTTTCGTTTTCGTTTTGTTGTTAGTTTTGCTCTACTTGTTTTCCTGTACCTCTCTGCCAAAACGAACAACAAAACACAGCCGAAGCCAAGCAAAACAGCGCTTAGGTCCAGCCCTGGTCCTGTGACCGAACTCTGCGTGCACCTCGCTGCACTGCCTGCAGACGAAGACGCGGAAGTCCATGCACACGTGCTCGGGCTTGGGCGCTCTGCAGTTTGCGCAGGCCGCGTTGTCGGGCTCGTGGGCGCGCATCGCCGCAGCCCGCGTCTCGGAGGGATCCTGGGGGGCAACGATAGGGGGGGACTGGCACGGGGAGGGTGCATTGACCTGGAATCGACGATACCCGATAGATCGGCGATAGGCCCCCGATAGCGAATTCGCACCCAGTTTGGGGCTATCGGGCCCCTATCGGCGATCAATGGGCGATTGGAGGTCGATGCATCCCCCCCTTTGCCTATCCCCCCCTATCGTTGCCCCTGAGGTCCACGAACGAGGTGACGAACCGGGCCATTCCGGCGGCGGTCGTCTCTCTCGCACCCCAACAGGGAACGACGAGGCACGGGCTGCGACGTCCAAGTCCTAAGCTTGAGCCAGACCGCAGTGGTGCTTATCTCAGGTCGGGTATGTCCCCCTGCATGTGGATTTTGGACAAATGGAAAATAAACAAAACTAGTCCCAAATGGTCAGAAACAGTTAAACAATCGTCCCCATACTATGTATGATTATTTTTGAATGTTCCTCCTGTAGAGGGGCAGGCCCGACTTAAGCCTAATTTCGCACGTCGCGCCACGCGGTGCAAAACACGCGATGAGATCCGCGCCCTCGCGACACCATCTGGGAGAGGGTCAGCTCTCTGGCCCAGGACCTGTGGACGGCATCGCCCCCGCGCTTCTAAAGTACATCCCACGCGATCTCTTCCCCGCGCTTCGTCGAGGCCTTAGCACACTCCGTGCCATGGCATAATAATCCGACGAACAACAATGACAACTGGAACCCGCATGAACCTGAAACCAGGCTGCACTGCCTACACAGCTGCACCACCAAGCTCTCTACAACGTGGATCGTGGAAACAATATATCATGGGGCGGTGGGCCGCGCAAAGCGGAATCGGCCCGATAATTTCAACCTAGAACCTCAAGATTCGCGACTGGACGTCGAGCTTGTATCTTCGCTTCACCTCCAATGCGCGTGGGCAAGGGTCCCACCGACCTCCATTTTGCAGCAGGGACTCTGGACCGCATGCGTGACATCCCGACCGAATCCTTCTAGCCGCTACAGGGGCGGCAACGACAGCTCCCCTCTGGACTCTCAATGCAGCCACCCGAGGCGGACGAAGGACCTCGCGACCCTCAATAGGGCCCAGGAGGCCGACGAACAAGCCAAGAAGTACCTGCCAGGCGGAACAAATGCAGCAGAAACGAAGCTGAGCTTGATGGTTCTTTAGGCGGCGCGCACGAGGGGGCAGGGGGAGGGGGAAGTTCGCAGAAGAAGGCTGCTTCTCCATGGGCGCCATCCCTGCATCTACAGACAGGGCCCGCGCCTTCTCAGAAGCAGGGGTGCGTCTCGGAAGCCTTCCCCCCTCCCCCTCCCCATCTCTGCGCGCGGCTGATACTCCTTGCCTGGTGCAGCCTCTTGGGCACTCTTGGGAGCGTCCGATCCCGACCTTTCCGAAGGCCTCTTCCTTTGTGGGGGGTCGCCGTCCAGGGTCGGCGGCACTAGGAGTGAGGCCTTAGCAACACAGTTGAAAACGAAGCTGAGCTTGATGGTGCTTATCAGTTTCTGCTCGTTTGGAGTCCCGAAACGGCGCGGTGACAGACCGTGCTGTGACCTCGAAATCGCCCCAGACCTCACCGCACGGTCCATCACCGCACGGTCTTGGGACCCCGGAGGCCCCTGTCGCCCGAGACATCCTGGGAGAACGGCCCGAGTCCCAAAACCGTGCGGCGGCCCCGAATCCCCACCGACTCGCCGCACGGTGTGGTCACCAGCCCGCTTGGGGGCCCCCGAACTCTGCCCGACGTCTGCCTGACTACTCCTGGCCCGGGGCACCGACACGGACCACCTCACCGGCGCTGCCTGGGCCGATCCTGGGCGGCGCAGGACGTGTGCGCATACACTCCCCTGGCCAAGCCAGGAGGGCGCCTACACCGAGGAAGAGAAGAGCGGAATGAGCATAAGCGACGAGAAGCCAGCGGAAAAGAACGGCGCGGGATCAAGGAAACACCCGAGGGCAGCAGGAGGACAAACATCACAGGGAGAAGCGATCGACAGCGACAGGCTGCACAAACGTAGACGCTTGGAAGTCTGCGCGGCAATCATCTTGTGATGCCTGGTCCACATCGTCGCCCTGCCCAGCCCGCCCCGCCCACTTGTCCGGCTTCTGTGCTTTCCGTCCCCTCCTCCCGTTCCGCTCCACTCCCTCCCGGCGTCTTGGATCTGCGCGGCTGTCTTGGATCTGCGGCAGATCTGCGCCGAGATCCCCTCCCTGGCGCGCAGAGTGCGCCGGGGGCAGTGCCAGGGGCGGAGCCGGGGAGGCGCAGCGCCGATGCGAAAAGTCCGCACAGACCTTCCAAAGTTTCTACTCGGGTAGCTTCGTTACTCGAATGCGCTGATCCCACAACAATCCACCAAACGCACGTTTGTGATGCTGATCCACGCGCGAAACGCGGCCCAGAGAGGCAGACAATTAATTTTGAATATTCCTCCTGTAGAGGGACACGCCCGACTTAAGCCCAGCATGGGCCTCGCCAGGACCGAGGAGGTGGTCGGGGCTTGCCCTCGAGGAGACGATCCCTCACCAAGCCTGGTGACGCAGGCTTGGGCCTGGTCTCGGGGATCTGCTGACCCAGGTCAGTCCAGACCTGGGCCAGTCAGGCCTTGCAGAATCCCAAAAGATCCTGCACCCAAACGCGGGTCAATGCGCAGGATGCTGCAGGATCCTGCACCCAGACCCGGGTCAGCGCGACCCTGGCCCTGCAGGATCCTGCAAGATCGGGCGCTCTGGCTGACCCCCGTTTGCATTGACCAACGTTCAAAACTCCCGATGATCCGTAGAAGAAGGAGCACCGGCATAAGCATGTAAGCGTTTTTTCCCGAACCATCCTGTGGTGTTGGGTCCCCGTTTTGACGAGACAGCACCCCGCGTCACTCCTCTCCTCTCCTCTCCTCCTCCACCCCCTCCTCCCTCTTCCCATTCGCCTCGTCACCCGGTACAGCGTTTCGTGGCCCCATAGGGAACTCCATCGAATGCTCCATTAGCACAGGCTGCATGCGTCAACGCCACCCAGGACAGCGCTTCGTGATCCCATAGGGCTTCCTGGCTGCATAGGGAGCTCCACCGAAGGCCCCAGTGGCACAGGCCGCATGCGTCAACGCCACCCAGGACAGCGTTTCGCGGCCCCACAGGGAGCTCCACCGAAGGCTCCAGTGGCACAGGCCGCATGCGTCAACGCCACCCAGGACAACGTTTCGTGGCCCCACAGGGAGCTCTACCGAAGGCTCCAGTGGCACAGGCCGCATGCGTCAACGCTACCCAAATCAGCGGTTCGTGGCCCCATAGTAGGGAGCTCCACCGAAGGCTCCAGTGGCACAGGCCGCATGCGTCAACGCCACCCAGGACAGCGCTTCCTGGCTGCATAGGGAGCTCCACCGAAGGCCCCAGTGGCACGGGCCGCATGCGTCAATGCCACCCGTGCTCCACCGAAGGCTCCAGTGGCACAGGCCGCATGGGTCAACGCCACCCAGGACAGCGCTTCGTGATCCCATAGGGAGCTCCACCGAAGGCCCCAGTGGCACAGGCCGCATGCGTAAACGCCACCCAAGACAGCGTTTCGCGGCCCCACTGGGATCTCCACCGAAGGCTCCAGTGGCACAGGCCGCATGCGTCAACGTCACCCAAGACAACGTTTCGTGGCCCCACATGGAGGTCTACCGAAGGCCCCAGTGGCACCACCCAGGACAGCGCTTCGTGGCCCCATAGGGAGCTCCACCGAAGGCTCCAGCGGCACAGGCCGCATGCGTCAACGCCACCCGTGCTCCACCGAAGGCTCCAGTGGCACAGGCGTCATGCGTCAACGCCACCAAGGGCAGCGCTTCGCGGCCCCATAGGGAGCTCCACCGAAGGCTCCAGCGGCACAGGCCGCATGCGTCAACGCCACCCGTGCTCCACCGAAGGCTTCAGTGGCACAGGCCGCATGGGTCAACGCCACCCAGGACAACGCGTCGTGATCCCATAGGGAGCTCCACCGAAGGCCCCAGTGGCACAGGCCGCATGCGTCAACGCCACCAAGGACAGCGTTTCGCGGCCCCACAGGGAGCTTCACCGAAGGCTACAGCTGCAAAGGCCGCGTGCGTCAACGCCACCCAAGACAGCGTTTCGTGACCCCACAGAGAGCTCCACCGAAGGCTCCAGTGGCACAGGCCGCATGCGCCAACGCCACGTGGCCCCATAGGGAGCTCCACCGAAGGCTTCAGTGGCACGGGCCGCATGGGTCAACGCCACCAACGGCAGCGCTTCGTGGCCCCATAGGGAGCTCCACCGAAGGCTCCAGTGACACAGGCCGCATGCGTCACCGCCACCCAGGACAGCGTTTCGCGGCCTCATAGTAGGGAGCCCCACCGAAGGCTCCAGTGGCACAGGCCGCATGCGCCAACGCCACCCAGGACAGCGCTTCCTGGCTGCATAGGGAGCTCCACCGAAGGCCCCGGTGGCACGGGCCGCATGCGTCAATGCCACCCAGGACAGCGCTTCGTGATCCCATAGGGAGCTTCACCGAAGGCTCCACTAGCACAGGCCGCATGCGTCAACGCCACCCAGGACAGCGCTTCGTGGCCCCATAGTAGGGAGCTCCACCGAAGGCCCCAGTGGCACAAGCCGCATGCGTCAACGCCACCCAGGACAGCGCTTCCTGGCAGCATAGGGAGCCCTACGGAAAGCGGTACCCACATTGCGCCACTCGCAGTTGCAGATGGTTGGGTCTTTCGACAGGCTACTTATTCGGCGATTCGGCATTGGGCGGAAAGGTGGGGGGAGCAGGGGGGGGTCTGGCTCCGGACCTCTGCTCAATGCGACTGTTTGGAACCGTGCGTCTTGTGGCGGAGGCCCCACCTGCTCGAAACAGGCCGCAAAAAAAAAAAAAAAAATCTACTCCATGGGGGGGGTGGGGTCGGGGGGCCCAGCGCCCATCGGCAGAACACGGAATATAAAAAAACTATCACCTGGGAAACTAGGAGCTCCGCGCGCATTTCTTGTGTCTGTGTAAGTCTGGGTATGAGTAAATCTGACTGTGAGTAAATCTGGGTATGAGGAGAAGGAGAAGGAGAAGAGGGAGAAGAAGGTGTAGGAGGCGTCCAAATAATAACAAGAACCCCATCTTAGGAAATGGGGAACCATCACCTAGGACTCTAGGAGTTCCGCGCGCACTTCTTGGTGTTCGGCGCTGGAGCGCCGACCCCGGCCTGGCGCGCGGAGCCCGCCGAGGGGCGGCGCCGGGGGCGCCGTCGGAAGGAGAGGCCCGGCGTCGAGATCCGAGAAATCCGCGCGGCGTGCCGAAAGCGTATGGCGACAGTGGGGGCCAGCCCGCAAGAAACCCTACAGGACAGTTTTTAATACATCGGACTTGTTGAATAAAGGATTTTGAATACATGATTAAGTGATGAATAAATTTGCGCGTGAAGTCATCGTTGTTTTTGCTACTAAATCCTTGCATTCTTAATGCAGGATCCGCACGCGGAGCATGTATTAAAAACGGCACTGTATGGTGACAGTGGGGGCCAGCCCACAAGAAACCCAACCTTGGCGAGCGTGTTTTTTATGTATCATTCGGCGTTTCGACATTGGGCGAAGAGGGGGGGAGGGGGGGGGCCTGGCTCCAGACCTCTGCTGAGTGCAACCGTTTGCAAGAGTGCTGCCTCTGGGGAAACTCCCCCTGCCTGAAACAGGCGCCGACAACAGCCAAGATCCACTCCAGGGAGGGGAGGGGGTGTGCGAGGGCCGGCGCATATCGGCAAAACCCAGCCCAACCCAACCCTGAGACCCCAGGACGTCCACTTGTTCTTGGTGTAGGAGCGCCGCGCTCTCCACAGCAAAGCCATCGAAACCCCGGGCACCCTGGAGGCAAGCAGGGTGTTTCTTGGCATGGGCCCCCACTGCACGGCAGGTGTCGCGCCGACTTCGGCGTTGGTTTTCTGACGCCGCGGGGATCGTTCAACCCTGAAAGATCGGCCCTCTGACCCCGCGGATGCTTGAGACACAAACACTCTCACTGCCCTCGCTGCGCCTTGATCCACTCAGCTCCGCCGACCTCGCCCTCGGCCTCGAGTGCTCCGCCGTCAGGGCGAAGATGTACTTCGGCTTGATCGTGCCCTGCTCTGCAAGGAGGCCTCTGTCCCGCGCATGCCCGTCGGCGCCGTCGGGATCGTGCTCGCTGTCGAGGCTGCTCCCGATTAATTCGGGACGTGCTGCTGCGGCTCCCTGCACACCGTGTGGTGCGTGAGGTGCTGCGAGTGCTGGCCTGCTCCGTCGTGCCCAGGAGGAAGTCCCGCAGGGCCTGCGCCACCACCTGCGGCCAGCGCCGATGCCATGGCGCGACGCTGCTTCTTCTCATCTTTGGCCTCCCTCTTCGCTTCCGCCTTGGCCTCGTTCTCTCGCTTGAACTTGCGGCAGTCGTCCTCGACGCGGTTCGGCTGCTCGCAATAACTGCACCACTTCCTCGGACGGTTCGGGCTGTCCTCCGCCTTCGGCTCGAGATTGTTATTATTATTATTATCGTTGTCCTTGTCCTTGTCACCCTTGCGTTTGCCTTTTCCCCTCGGCTTTCCTTTCAGCGCACCGATCTCCATCGCGTCGTCGTCAAAGCTGCGCGGGCCTTTAGGGCGCTCAGGACCTCGTTCTTCACGTCGAGGTAAGTGACTAGGTTCCGCAGATTGCGGAAGACGTCTTTCCGCAGGTCGCGTTCGTTCTGGTGCGCGCCGAGCAAGATCCCCTTTTTGATGTTGTCGGTCAGCTGCTCCCCGGCGGCCTTCTCAGACTTGCTGATCTCCAGGTCCAGCTTCTCGATCTCGTTGGCTACGTCCGCGTTCGTCATAAACTGTGTCGACATGAGCTGCCTCAGACGTGCCACGACATTGCCAGGCTGATTGGGTGCACACTCGCCCTTCAGCCGGACCCATGCTTGACAACCTTATCCGTGTAGAACGTTCCGCATATTGGTCTCACCCGCTGAGTCTTCAGGCATCGCGAGCACCAGCATATAGTAGAGCTGTGTGCTCAGGTCCTCCCAGTCTACGTCGTCCACGTTCATCGTAGCATTCTTGGCGTCGTCCAGCTGATCCTGGAATCCAGAGTCTTGCCGTCTAGCTTCTCAGAGAAATCCTTGTAACGCTTGTCGTTTGCCACCATGTACGCTCTCCAGTGAAACTCCCATGTCGACCATCCGCTCCCTGAGCCGTCGAACTGCTTGACTTTCCCCATGATATTGGCGTTCAGGACTACCTCGAATCGCTGGGCGATGCGGACCGGCTGCTGTTGAGTTGTCTGTCCTGTTGCTTGCTGCTGCTGCTGCACTGTGGCCAGTAGGTCTGCTATCTGTTGCTGCTGTTGTTGCAGCTGCTGGTCCATCACGAGTTCGTTCCGCTGCGAGAATCGCCGCTAAAGTCGCGCAGTGGGTCCTCGGCAGCGGAACTGCACCCAGCTCCGCGCTACCATGTTTCAGCCCTCGTCCAAAGGAATCTGGAAGAGCGGTGAATCAACTTCATTTTCCTGAGCCAACAGTACACGGGAACATTCTCCTGACACAGCTCCCGACCAGGCGTGCTTAGCCCCACGGATGTACCCCCCCAGATTTGGACCAGGGACGAGCACAAGAGGCCCCCAAGAGGGTCCCAACAAGGCCCCAAGACGGCCCAAGAGACCCCGAAGACGCCCAAGATCGCCATGTCCCTCGACAGGAGGAATACTCAGAAATAGTCGAAAAATAACCTGGGGACGATTTTTTGATCATTTTCAAATATTTGTGGAACATGGTTTGACTATTGTTTGATTCGTCGTCCAAAATCCACCTGTAGGTGGACATGCCTGACCTAAGGGAAGCAACTGATAAGGATTAAAAGTAAACCTCAGTTAGGAGGCAAAAAGGGTGAGCAGATGTATCACACGAAATCACTCAAGTGTTCACAGATATTCCCGAAAAAACGTGAACCTACGTTAAGCCACTAGCTCATGGGAGCTTCTGTGGACCTCCGCGGCACTATCATGAGCGTGATAGTGGACCGGACGTCATCCTGATTTCGACCACCCCTCTTCACCCTTGCGTTCAAAGCTTGTCCAAATGTAGACGGAATCAAACGAAATCCAGGCGGAATCCCGCAAAGCGCAAGGAGTTGGGGGACCCTCTAGGGCTCGCATGAGGGGCCACGCAACAGCTGGTTCCCTCCGATGGAACGCTCCGAAGGTAGTCCCATGAGCGGCTCGTGGGACTCCCGTCCAGCTCCATCGGGCAGAACGGCACCGATTCTCAAAAAATGGAGGGAAAGAAAAAGGGGACCATCGGCGTACCGATCTTGGCCACCGTCGATCTTGGCCAGCGTCAACTCGTGGAACATCCTCGCGAATGTGCGACGGCCGACATGGATCGTGGCCGAGGCTGGCCTCGGGACAATGGCGCGACAGGCTGGCCATGCTCCCCGTGCTCCCTGCCTCGAAACAGTCCGGATACCAGTGAGCACTCCTGCCGTGGAGGATTGGTCTCCTCCTCCTCCTCCTCCTCCTCCTCCTCCTCCTCCTCCTCCTCTTCCCTCCTCCTCCTCCTCCTCCTCCTCCTCCTCCTCCTCTTTCCTCCTCCTGCTGCCTCCTCCCTCCCCACATCATTCCTCCCTCGAGCGGGAGGGGCCGAGAGCACAACGAAGCCCTCTGGGCACCCTGCAGGGTGCAGACCGCCCCTGCTTCGCCCCCTCGCAGACTCTCGCACCAGCAGCAGCAGGACGGGAATCACCTCACGGTGGCATCGGCTCAGCATGCGTTCCAGGACGTCCGGAGCATCTGCTGAGCATGTTCTTAGAGTGGAGGGCTCAGGGTGAAATCCGTATGGGCTTTCGCACCTCGAAAATCAATCCGTCTTGTGATTCACCTTTTTGAAGATTCAGGCCATCGAAACGGCATTTCAGACTTCACCCTCTGCCCCCCACCCAGAGAAAATGCTTGGACCTGGCGGGCCTCGTCTCTGCAGCCCGCGTGGCAAGACCGTTGGCACTCCTGTAGGGAACCGAACTCTATACACCGATGTCTTTTTTCGGTCCCGCACTGAGATTCGCACAAGAAAACAGATTCTGGTGTATATGGCATCCTGGTGTATACATGTTTCGTTGTTTTCACGGGAGAACGGGGGAAAAAGTATACACCACACCACCGCGACGTCGCCCCCGACCCTCAAAAATGTCCTGGGATTCAAAAACGGCCCGCCACTGGTAATGTACACGTTCTAGTTTCCGATCCTGGGAGCCTGGGAGCGTATCGTCATCATGACCTCTCGCTCGGCCGATGCAGGGAGGCCACCCGTCTGCGCGGGCCGTGCCGAGCGGTGCGAGGCGCGCCACCACCCTCGCGCTCTCGCGCGGCCACGTCGGATGGGGGGCAACGCTAGGGGGGGGGGGACTGGCCTGAGGGAGGGACGCATCGACTTGCAATCGGCGATGCATCGCCGATAGCTCGGCGATAAGGCCCCTGATGGTGACTCCGCACCTCCCTGGGCAGGTTGGGGCCATCGGGTCCCTATCGGCGATCAATGGGCGATTGCGTGTCGATGCATCCCCCCCTGTCATATCCCCCCTTATCGCTTCCTCTGATCGGAGCAGGGCAACTTCCCCCGGCCTGGGCCGTGAGCGAGGGAGAGCCCCATCGGCGCTCGCGCTCGCCGATCCTCGGAGGTGACCTCGACGACTTCGACGAGGATGACCTGCTGGCGGCGCGCACAGAGGGGGCAGGGGGAGGGGGGAAAGCTTCTTTGGGGGAGCGAATAATAACACAAACAGAATAACTCGGAGGTCCGCGCGGATTTCTCGGATCCGCGCTGGGGCCCCCTGGCGGCGCCTCCGGCGCCGCGCCAGGGAGGGGGGCCCAGAGCGGATCCCAGAAAGCCGCGAGGACCTCCGAGCTTCTGTGTTTATGCCGTGTTGTCGACTCCTATTCTTGGAAGTAGGCTGCTTTCCATAAGGCGCCGGCCTTACCTCTATAGATAATTATAAGGCCCGCGCCTTGTCTGCAGTGCCTGTCCCCTCCCCGCCACCCCCCCCCTCTGCGCGTGGCCGAACCTGCGCTTCCTCGACGGCGACCGTCTCCTCGACCTGGACCTGGGCATCCCCTGTGGCAGGAGGCCCCCGGCAGGGCGCGCGCGCGCTGGTCACCCCCGGGTGGCGGCGCGCGGGCGGGCTTTGTGCTCCGGCCAAGACAGCCGCAGGTTACGACAGATTGCAGCATCGCTGTTCTCTCGTGTTCGACCATGGGCGCCTCGATGGGCCTGTTTTCCACCACCACCACCATCACCACCATAAGTTGGAGGGGGAAGGAGCTGGAGGATGAGGAGGAGGAAGAGGGGGAGGAAGACCCCCTCCCCCTCCTACTCATGGTAGTGGCGGTGGAACACAGGCCCACCACGCCTGGCAACCCATCCGCCCTCGGCGGCAATCGGCGGACCCCATCGGTGGTCCTTCGGCACTGGCCAAACCAGTCTTTGGCGGCGCCCGTCGGTCTGCCAAGCGCGACACGCGAGGGATTGCGCTCTGCAGTGGGTCCGGGATCGATCACCAAGCCTAAAATCTACGCCCAGACCTCCAATGGGTCCAGGGGTTCTCCAATGGGTCCAGGATCGTTCTCCAGTGGGTCCAGGATCGTTCTCCAATGGATCCAGGGATTGAGCACCTATCTTACAATCTTGGCTCAAACCTCCAATGGGTCCAGGATCGCTCTCCAGTGGGTCCAGGGTCGTCCTCCAGTGGTTGGCGGCGCGCAAAGGGGGTATGGGGGAGGGGGGAAGGTTTCTTAGAAGCACCCTGCTTCTTAGAAGGCCTCGGCCTTACGTCTATAGAGAAGGCCCGCGCGTTCTAAGAAGCAGGGGTGCTTCTAAGAAGCCTTCCCCCCTCCCCCTACCCCCTTTTGCGCGTTGCCGAAGTGGGTCCAGGATGGTTCTCCAGTGGATCCAGGGATGGAGCTCCGGCTTGGAAGCTGCGGTCGGCGGGCGCCCGTGCAGCGCGCGCCGTGCCCGCGCAGCGCGGGGCGGAGGCACCAGATCACGAGGTCGTGCTTACATTTCGGTCGGGCATGTCCCCCCTACAGGAGGATTTGGGCCGATTTGTTTGCAAGAAGCAATCAGAACATAATCACAACAGTGATCAGAAATGGTAGAAAGAATCGTCCCCAGACCATGGTTTACCTATTTTTGCATGATCCTACTGTAAACGGTCGCGCCCGACTGAAGTTTACATGCCCGCGCATGCGCGTATCCTTCTGTGCGGGCCAGACTGGGGTGGGGGGGTGGCACAGCTTCCCACGCAACCATCCAACAACTAACTGTTACCCTTCCAATCGGCAGCAAGAGCCCGTTCACGTAGCGACACTCCGATTATCAATCCCCGCTCCGTGCATGGGCTCCTGGAGAACTGCCACACCACATCGGCGTCTTGGACGCCCTTCTGAGCACACGCCATCGGTTGCGCTGCTGGCGGGCGCCGTGGCGCCAGCACGCGGACCGTGGGCAACGCACCGGAAACATCAATATGGGAACACAGATTCGCGAGTGTGCTTCCGGATGCCTCCAACACCTCCTCCGCTCTGGCATTGGCCACCCGGCCCCGCTCACTGCAAGTGCTCGTGCCCGCTGCCATCCTCTTCGCTCGCTGCTCGGACCTGACCCTTGCCCGCTGCCTGCTGGTCGTCCAGCGAGCCGGAGGGGGAGCCGAACCGGCACCGGTACGGGTCGTTCTCGTGGAACTGGCGCCACAGCTCGATCAGCTCGTACCTCCACCGAGGAGCTTCGGGGGCTGCCAGAGGCGGTCCTGGGCTCCTGCCCTCAAGAGGGCCCCGGCTCTTCGCACGAGGATCCCTCTCGGGACCTCTGGGCCTTGCGAGAGGAGGAGGCGGAGGAGGAGGAGGAGGGGGAGGAGGAGGAGGAGGAGGAGGAGGAGGAGGGGGAGGAGGTACTCTGGAGGCCGCATGGGCCTCCCTGGAGACGCTGGGTCACCTTGGGCCAGGGTCACATGTGGACACGCACGAGAGCTGGAGACCCGCCCAAGTGGGCCGAGGCATCTGGGATCGGAGGATGGCCAACGCATCGGCGGCACATCGGAGACGTCGTGACATCGCGCCGCATCGTAGATTAGGGACGATGTTGTCTTGTAGAACAACTCAAAAAGTATTCAAAAGATGCTACAACAAAGTCGAATACTCTTCCCCTGACTATTTTTCACTATTCTTGAATGTTC